CCTGCGGGGGCGGCGCGGCGGCTGCCTTCGCGGACGGGTCGCGCACACGCTGAGGCGAGCCGAGGCGGGCTGTGCCGGTCCCGTGGCTGTTGAGCGAGCGCTGCGCTCGGGAGGGAGCTCGGGGAGGCTTTGGCGCAGAGACGCGGCACTGCGGCAGTCGCTGGCGTTCGTCCTCCCGCGCCCCAGGGGGCGCTGCGGGCCTGCGGGGGAAGCGCCTGCCCGCCCCATCTCTGCGCGGATTCCGGGACCGCGGGCAGCCGAGCGGGCGGGAGACGTCCCCCGGCCCGAAGGAGGCTCCCGAGGCGTTAAGTGGGTTCCGATGCGTGCCAGGCTTTTTCCTGGACGGTGAAGAAAATCAGCCGAAATCACCGCCCTTGCTCCCTCCTTCCCTTGTTTCTAAAAGCAGGAGCAGCCGGCTACTTGCGGTCCAGTTCAGCTTACAGCCGTGGCTCCCGCGACAAACGTGCCGTGTTGTTGTTAGAATACCTGGTGCCACTGAAGACTTTATCTGTAGTACTGGGGATTGAACCCAGGGTCTTGGCACTGAAATGCATCCCCAACCCCTTTACACTTTTGAGACAGATCTCCCCAAACTGCCCAGCCCAGACCGTCTCACACCAGCCCTCCTGCTGCCTCAGTCTCCCAGAGTGCTGGGATCCAGGCGTGTGCCATTCTATCCGGTCCCAATGAAGACTTTAAAAATGGGTTGAGGTCCTGGTTTGTTGGTTGATTTTTGTTGCACTTGTTTACAGTTTTCTGTTCATGGTGCTTGACGGGTCCTGTCAGATCAAGGAATTTATGGTCTTTGAATAAAATGCAGGAAGTGCTGGGCGTGGTGGCGCACGCCTGTAATCCCAGCACTCGGGAGGCTGAGGCAGGAGGATTGTCGTGAGTTCGAGGCCAGCCTGGGCTACAAAGTGAGCTCAAGGTCGGCCTGAACTGCATAGAGAGACCCTGTCTCAAAAAAAAAAAAAAAAAAGAAAAGAAAAAAAGATAAACTGCAGGAAGTGGGTTTTAAGGAAAAAAAGACTTGAAAAAAATTGGAAACATTACAGAGCAGTTTATAAATTCCAGCACATCTTAATTACTCCGCAAAGGATAGTCTTTCCAATACTCATAGCACAGACGCCCAAGCTACCTATTGAGCTCAAACTAAAGGTAAAGCCAAATCTGCTTTAAAGAATCTTTTCTTGTAGGTTAAAAGGGTCAGAAAAAAAAGGGTCAGCTCCCTTAAAAAGAGTAGTCATTAGGATTTAAGCAGAACTATAGCAGAAAATTTCCAAGATATTTTGTCTGATACAAACATACCAAGTAAAATGCTTATGCAATACCATCCTTTTTTTTTTTTTTGGTTTGAAATATATTGTTTAGTGCTTATAAAGCTGGCAATTATTACCTATTATTTCTGTCTTTTTTAACAGATCAGCTGGACGTTCTTATTACCCCAGTTCCAAAGGTATTGGTGAGTAGCACACATAAAGTAGAGAATAGCTATGAATAACAGTGTTGAGAGAAGCCAGTTTGCCTGTAGGACTGACACAATGGAGTCTTAAAATTAGACTTTATTAGCATTTTTGGTAGTCTTTTTATTACTTTTTCAGTACAGGGAATGGAACCCAGGGGTATCCTACAACTGAGCTACATCCCTAGTCCTTTTTTAAAAAAAAAAATTTTTTTTTTTAACGTTTTGAGACGGTGTCAGTAGGTTACCCAGGCTGGGCTTGAATTTGCAGTCCTGCCTCCACCTCCTCAGCACTTGGATTACATGGTATGTACCACCATGCCAGCTTTAACATTTTCAAAGAACAGTCTCTTTCCCTTTCGTAAATAAATCTCACATCAGTCATTTAAAAAATCAGCAGTAGCCAGGTGTGGTGGCGCATGCCAGTAATCCCAGCACTCGGGAGGCTGAGGCAGGGGGATTGTTGTGAATTTAAGGCCAGCCTGGGCTACAAAGTTAGCTCAAGGCCAGCCTGAACTGCATAGTGAGACCCTGTCTCAAAAAGACAAAGATAAATAAATAAATAAATAAATAAAAATTAGTAATTCTTAAAAAAATCTGTTCACCACTATTGGTTGAAGACCACAGAGCACAGCCTGGGGTTTACACACAGATTGAAGGAAGAAATTCTGAGATAAACAGCTTCAGAATCATGAAGTATATCTCAGTGCTAATACTTTCCTCTCACTTAAAGGATAAAGCTAAATTCCTCTTCTCTATTGGAGTCAGGAGACAAAGACAAGCCCTTAAAGGCTTCTTGCTCATTTCTTTTTCTGGAAGAAGAGCAGGTAGTTTACTAACTAGTATGTGTGTCTGTATGTGTAGTAGTAGTATTTAAGTATAGTTACAGTTTTTCCATATTTTGTTTAAATTCAGTGATACATAAACCTGAATTCACTTTGCTTTCCTTGGAAAAGCTACTTAGGGATAAAATATACAGACTCATATATGTGTGTAAATACGCATAAATACATATGTTCACAAATAATCTAGTCTTTATTTTTTTAACCTAGTCATTTTTATAATGTGCTTTTTTTAAAAAGAGGGTATTTTTTAGTTTTAAATTCACAGAAAAATTGAGAAAAGATATAGAGATTTCCACAGACCCTTTGCTCTGCATAGCCTCTGGTTATTAACATTTCCCATCAGTGGCAGATTTTTTATAATCGAGGAGCTTATACTAACATGCCCTCTTCGTCCAGAATTTATAGTTCACATTAGGGTTCACTGTTGGTTTACATATAATGTGTTTCATTGGAGGTTTGTTCATTTGGATTCCTCACTACAATTCTTAACGTAAGTAAAAAACTCAAATGAATTACAGTTAAATGGGTAGTTTTTGTTTTGTCTTTTTGAGACAGGGTTTCAATACGCAGTTCAGGCTGGCCTTGAACTCACTTTGTAGCACAGGCGAGCTTGCAGCAGTCCTCCCGCCTCAGCCTCTTGAAGGCTGGGATTACAAGCATGTGACACCATGCCTGGCTCTGGTGTTTTGTTTCTTGTTTTTGGAATTATAGTTAAATGTAGAAAACAGAAAACAAAGTAAGTATAAAATTGATATAATTAGCTGGGTGTGGTGGTGCATGCCTGTAACCCCAGTACTCCGAAGGCTGAGGCAGGAGGATTTTTATGAGTTCAAGGCCAGCCCGGACTACACAGTGAGTTGATGACCAGCTTGAAATACATAGTGAGACCTGTCTTACATAACAACAACAAAAAAGATAGAATTATTACAATCTAGATGTGGAAGGAGATAAAAAACTTTAACAATTATCAGTATATGAGAGATTCAAACAGTTTCTAAATATTAAAACAAAAAAATTTACATAAGTAGGATCATACTTAAAAAACTTTGAAAGGTAAATATCAAAATACTTTGAAATAATTATTAGATGGTGTTATTAGAAGTTTTATTTATTTCCCTTAGTTTGCAATTCTATAGTGGAATATGTATGTATAATTGCAGGAAAAAAGGGCTAGTACTCAACAAGTGCTTGTTTTCCTCTGTATTGGGACTTAAGGTCTTCTGCTATTATTTAACATAAATAATACGGCCAACTTTTGGCAGAGAATCTGGATAGTTTTCCCTGTAGGTCCTGTTTCAATGTTTTCAAACAGAAAGCCATATACAGATCAACTGCAACAGGTCATGTTCCAATAATGACCATATGGAACATAATTGAAAATATTTGCCTACACGAGAGGAGCTAGTGTTTTATAAACGAAAGACATGATTCTTTTGTTTTAAATACAACTTGAGTCTAGAAGGCTGTGAACTCCATGTGTGAGCAGTGGAGACCCCCAGTACATGGAATCAGTGTGTCGATGTTCAGTCTAATCACAGTGAGCCCCTTTTGTAGAGCCTTCTCTAATCTCATAGACAGATTTGGCCCAGACAAGAACGGAATTTCTCAAAGGTCAATGGTCCGTAACAATTAACATGATCCTCTTGGTTCCCATACACACATACTACTTTATATTTGCTTTAATTTGGCAGGCTTCATGGCAGTGACTAAAACCCACTTTTCTTTTTGTCTTTTTCAGACAGGGTCTCACTCTGTGGTTGAGGCTGGCCTTGAGCTCACTTTGTAGCCCAGGCTGGTCTCGAACTCACAATGATCTTCCTGCCTCAGCCTCCTGAGTGCTGGGATTACAGGCATGCGCCACCATGCCCAGCTAAAACCCACTTTTCAATAACTTATTTACTAACACTTTATTCCACCTAACAATAAAGTATATTTCTAAAA